AGTGTGTAGAAGGCACCTAGGATGGGATGTGAAATCCCTCTCTGCCTTATGGAGCTGTCTTGGAGCTCCAATCAAATGCTGTTTGACTAACTTTCTGGTTTTCAACACGTATGGCTCTGACTTTTAAGAAGTGCTCCTTGGAGGCAGGGCTGTAGTGAATTTGCCTGGAATATGTTGCTGCTACTGCAGCTTAAGTAGTAAGTAATGATGATGGTAATTGTGCCAACAGGAATTCTGGGACATCTGCCAGAGCAAAGCGAACAGCCAGCCCTATTTGTGTTTAAAGAAAGTTGTCTCTAAACCCTCACCCATATTAGTTATATGGCACGATGTCCTGCTGTGGCCTGTATTTAAAATATTAGCCAAGATTTGCAAAAATAGGAGACTAAAGTTAGGTTCCTGAATACATAATTGGGCTCTTAAATAAATAGCGTGGTTTTCAAAAGCACAGAACACTTCACAGCTCACGGTGAAGTCAATTGTAGCTTCGTGATGCTCAGCACTTTTGAAAATTAAGCCATTTACTTTGGTGCCTAAATATAGATTTAGGAGTCTAACTTTAGGCTCCTGTTTTTGAAAATTGAGGCCAATAGCAACACATCTGGGGTGAAATGTTATGGTTCTTTTTTCTTTTCTTTGGGTTTCTTTAACTCTATTGGTATAGTCAAAGCAGGGAATTCTTCTCCTGCCCAAAAACGTACGTAGGTGCTGCTATATTGGTATAACAGTGTTAATTGTATAGTTAATTCTGGCTCAAGAAAGAGAATTATCTAGTAAAAGGTCCTTCTATACCAGTATAACTGTATCTGTAGTGGTTTCAGAGTAGCAGCCGTGTTAGTCTGTATTCGCAAAAAGAAAAGGAGGACTTGTGGCACCTTAGAGACTAACATTTCCGTTTCCATGGGCCATTTCCAGCAGTTGACAAGAATGTCTGAGGAACAGTGGAGGGTGGAGGGGGGGAATAAACAAGGGGAAATAGTTTACTTTGTGTAATGACCCATCCACTCCCAGTCTCTATTCAAGCCTAAGTTAATTGTATCCAGTTTGCAAATTAATTCCAATTCAGCAGTCTCTGGTTGGAGTCTGTTTTTGAAGTTTTTTTGTTGAAGAATTACAACTTTTAGGTCTGTAATCCAGTGACCAAAGAGACTGAAGCGTTCTCCAACTGGTTTTTGAATGTTATAATTCTTGACATCTGATTTGTGTCCATTTATTCTTTTACGTAGAGACTGTCCAGTTTGACCAATGTACATGGCAGAGGGGCATTGCTGGCACATGATGGCATATATCACATTGGTGGATGTGCAGGTGAACGAGCCTCTGATAGTGTGGCTGATGTGATTAGGCCCTGTGATGGTGTCCCCTGAATAGATATGTGGGCACAGTTGGCAACGAGCTTTGTTGCAAGGATAGGTTCCTGGGCTAGTGGTTCTGTTGTGTGGTATGTGGTTGCTGGTGAGTATTTGCTTCAGGTTGGGGGGCTGTCTGTAAGCAAGAACTGGCCTGTCTCCCAAGATCTGTGAGAGTGATGGGTCATCCTCCAGGATAGGTTGTAGATCCTTGATGATGCCTTGGAGAGGTTTTAGTTGGGGGCTGAAGGTGATGGCTAGTGGCATTCTGTTATTTTCTTTGTTGGGCCTGTCCTGTAGTAGGTGACTTCTGGGTACTCTTCTGGCTCTGTCAATCTGTTTCTTCACTTCAGCAGATGGGTATTGTAGTTGTAAGAATGCTTGATAGAGATCTTGTAGGTGTGTCTCTGTCTGAGGGGTTGGAGCAAATGCGGTGGTATCGTAGAGTTTGGCTGTAGATAATGGATTGTGTGGTGTAGTCTGGGTGAAAGCTGGAGGCATGTAGGTAGGAATAGTGGTCAGTAGGTTTCTGGTATAGGGTGGTGTTTATGTGACCATTGCTTATTAGCACCATAGTGTCCAGGAAGTGGATCTCTTGTGTGGACTGGTCCAGGCTGAGGTTGATGGTGGGATGGAAATTGTTGAAATCATGGTGGAATTCCTCAAGGGCTTCTTTTCCATGGGCCCAGATGATGAAGATGTCATCAATATAGCGCAAGTAGAGTAGGGGCATTAGGGGATGAGAGCTGAGGAAGCGTTGTTCTAAGTCAGCCATAAAAATGTTGGTATACTGTGGGGCCATGCAGTGCCCATAGCAGTGCCGCTGATTTGAAGGTATACAGTGTCCCCAAATGTGAAATAGTTATGGGTGAGGACAAAGTCACAAAGTTCAGCCACCAGATTTGCCGTGACATTATCGGGGATACTGTTCCTGACGGCCTGTAGCCCATCTTTGTGTGGAATGTTGGTGTAGAGGGCTTCTACATCCATAGTGGCCAGGATGGTGTTTTCAGAAAGATCACCGATGGATTGTAGTTTCCTCAGGAAGTCAGTGGTGTCTCGAAGATAGCTGGGAGTGCTGGAAGCATAGGGCCTGAGGAGGGAGTCTACATAGCCAGACAATCCTGCTGTCAGGGTCCATACTAGGGCTTTTACCAGCATAACTCTATGCTGGCAAAAAATCACATCCCTAACTGATGTAATTATACCAATATAACTTTTTAGTATATTCCAGTCCTTATCATGTTTGTACCATTCAAAATCAAGGTGTCTAATCAGTTAGCATCCATGCAAAAGGTAGAGGTTTTGTACGCAGACAAAGAACAGGTTTTGCCAGATCCAATATAAAGAGAAATATATTTATGGAACTATTCAGGGAAACCAGTTTTAAAATAAATGAAATGAAATATTCCCTGAAGTATTTGAGAATCCGCCCTCACGCCCCCACACACACCCAAACCCTCTGCCCCAGTCCGGAGCCCCCTGCCGCACCCTGAACCCCTCATTTCTGGTCCCACCCCGGAGCCCACACTCCCAGCTGGAGCCCTCACCCCCTTCCACACTCCCAACCCCCTGCCCCAGCCCGGCAAAAGTGAGTGAGGGTGGGGGAAAGCGAGCAACAGGGGGATGGAGTGAGTGGGGTGGGGGGGGGTAGGGCCTCAGAAGGGGCAGGGTCTCCGGGAAGGGGCTGGGAAGGGGGAGGGACAAGGGTGTTTGGTTTTGTGTGATTAGAAAGTTGGCGACCCTACTTGAGCTGCCTGCACACTGCAGAACAACAGAGCTTGGACCCACATCACAGCAAGATGCGGGCTCTGACTGCCCTCCTCCCAGCAAGGTCCTAAGACTTAGGTGCTTGTTGACCTGAGTCAGACTGCTTTGTGTGTGGACGGAAGGGGGTCTCGGACCCAAACCTGAGTCAGGAGGCCAGGCTTAGTGTGCTGTGTAGACACACCCTCTGAGTGCACCCCCTCAGGTTTTAGACCTCATGCCTTTGCCTCTCCTGAGGTGAAATTTCTCAGTTCTTCCCAGCCTTCTGTGCCCTGTCTATCAACTGTCCTTACCCTCCACATCTGAGTTCTGGCACCAGCAGTTAGTTCTTCCCCTGGGGTGTCTTAGATCAGTGCTGTACAGTGACCAGATAATTATTGTCTAGTTTTGCCGTAGGAACAAATCTTTTAGATTGTCAGAGGGAAAAGGCTGTTCAAACAACAAGCAGCCTGCACATGTCTTTCTTAGAGGATCGCCAGCCCCTGACAGGAACCGGGGCAGGCCTACCTTCTTCAGATACCCACAAGAGGCATCTGTGTCCCTGAACAACTACTGTCCTCCTCCTCTGTCCCCTGAGAGTGTTCCTTTTAAACCTGCCACAGTTTTTGCTCTTCTATATTCGCGGGCCTTTTCCTGTCCTGGCTTCATCTCTTAACAACTCTCAGAAGTGCTGAAAAGTGGTTTATGTTTAAGCCATTTCCCCCACTTCCTGCTTTTTTTCCCCTACAGCGCCCTATTAGATTAACCAAAATATTCACACAATAAACATCTCCTCTCAATAACCAGGTCAATATACAGAATTCACCAATTATTGCCAAGCAGCCCCAAATCTGTCTCCCAGTCCTCCTCAAAAAAACCCAACAATTACTTCCGCTACTTTCTCTCTTCAAGCATTTGATTTCCCTTCAGAGGGAAAATAAACACTCCTGAATTCACCATTGTAGGAGTTCAGCCACAAAACATGTAAAGAAGGAAACTCCCTTTCAGGTGGCACATTTCAAATGACTGTAAGAGGCACTGTCGAGTAGTTTAGAATTTGCATTTTTGTTTGTAATGGTTTTTTTCTGCTGACTCCAGCTATTGCCTCCCTTTAAGACCAGGGTTGGCCAGTGGAGTTCTACAGCGTGACCTGCGGCTGCTCTCACATTTAACATGGAGGTGCAGCCTGCTGCAGATCTAGGTCCCCGGATGTGATGCTATGTCTTAATCCAAAGCTGCGTCCTGTAGTCTTTGCAAGCCACTCCTCTGAGTTAAAGGTCAATGTGGCTGCACGCTGCGCTATCTAAGGGAAATTAGGTCGGCTCATTGGGTTCTTGGGAAGTGGCTAAGGTGGCTTTCAGTCAGCAAATATTAGGACTTCCCTGCCTGAAGAGAAGCGTCAGATTCTGCCAGAATTATTCTATTCTGTTCTCATTCTTATACTGCCCTGGTCACCACAGTATCTGAGCACGGCCAGCCGTGCATTAAATGATGTGACTAGCATTTGCCACGTGTGATTTTCTCTCTCTCACTTTTCTCTCCAATGGGAAAACTGTGCGAGGTTTCTTTTTGCTTGTTTGTTTGAATGGACTTATTTGGGATTGGTTTATTTTATGTCTGCTGAGCTGGGCGCTGGCTACTGAAGTCTTGGCTGTACAGAAAGTGGTGATGTCGGAGGTGGTTCTTAGATCTTGTGGGAGTTCGTTTCACAGTCTTGGACCGGCCCCAGAGAAAGCTCTACATAGGACACATTTCCATAGAGAGAGAGCTCTCCCTCCTGCTCTGAGCTGTTATCCTTTCCTGGCCTACTGGTTCTTATTCCATTGGTTGCTATTTGACCCCCCACCCCCGCCAGCTGTTGTCGCCAATGACTGATGGTCGGCTTGCTCCTTCCCTGTGCTGCAGGTATATCCGAACCATGTACCTGGGGATCCAGAGCCAGAGGCGGAAGGAACACCAACGGCGCTTCTACTGGGCTATGATGTATGAGTATGCAGACGTGAACATGCTGCGCCTCCTGGAGACCTTCCTGGAGAGCGCGCCCCAACTGGTGCTACAGCTCTGCATAATGATCCAAAAGAACCGTGCAGAAACATTACCATGTAAGTGGCCCATTTTCTCAGCCGCTGTTGGATGTTTTGTTGACCGACCACACTGTCGTGGAAGGTGCTGGCACTTTGGACAAAACTCGTTTCAGCTCCATGCTGCACTTGCTCAGTAAATTTCTGCTCGTGCTGCTGGAAAAAATACTCTACTACTTCAGTCTCTCATAGATCAGCCTGGTCATGAGGAGTGATCACAAGGCTGGGCACCAGGAATTCCTTAGCTCTGCTCCTGGTGCTGCCACTTACTTGCTGTGTAGCCTTGGGCAAATCACATGACCTTTTTCTGCCTCAGTCTTCCCGCCTGCAGAGTGGGGACAATAAAACATATCTGCCTCAGAGGGGTGTTGTGAGGGTTAACTGGTAAATGTTTGTGCCTTGTTTAGACTGTGCAAAGTGCTATATAAAGTGCTACGTTTCATAGATACAGACAAGGTGGTCACCCTTAAAAAGTCCACTTTTGCCATGAGTTCAAACACGCTTTTTGGTACCACAGTTCTGAACTAGTCTAAGAATAGGGAAAAACTGTATTATCTCAAAAAAAAAGAGTACTTGTGGCACCTTAGAGACTAACAAATTTATTTGAGCACAAGCTTTCGTGAGCTACAGCTCACTTCATCGGATGCATGCAGTGGAAAATACAGTGGGGAGATTTTATATACACAAAGAACATGAAACAATGGGTGTTACCATACACACTGTAACAAGAGTGATCAGGTAAGGTGAGCTGTTACCAGCACGAGAGCACATGCATCCGATGAAGTGAGCTATAGCTCACGAAAGCTTATGCTCAAATAAATTTGTTCTTTTTGTGGATACAGACTAACACGGCTACTCTGAAACCTGTATTATCTCAGACACCATGTGTGCTAACCATCAGCAAGTGCTGCCATTTTCATGGCAAGCGTTGTATATACAGACAGCAAAACTTGTCTTAAGCAACACTTCATTGCTTTAGTAGATGCAGGACCAAATTCACCGCTGGCGTAAGTGGTTCAACTCCATTGACCAGTATGCTGCATTGAGTGGGCTGCATGTTTTGCTAACATCTGCACTGCAAAGCTTGGTGAATGAAGAGTTTCCTAAGCATGCCACGTTCCTTGCTAAGGTACAAGATTGGCGGGCACTTTCTCAATTCAGTTGTATATACCTTTCCCCGTCAAGTACAAGATCATGCAAAAATAAATGAAATACAAAGAGAAACCATCAAGAAAGTAACATCCAAGATTTCTCTTAAGGAGACAAAAACCAAGGGAAAGGGAGGTAATATTAAAAAGCGACTGTGTAGAAAAGATCACCCACTGTCTTGCTCAATGTATTGGCTCCCTGTGGACCTTTGACTCCTATCTACTGATTGCAATTTTTTAGTGCTGTTAGTACTGCAGACCCAAGCCAGCTCTGGGAGGGTAAACTGGATTTGATTCTGCCGTGGGCCCGTGAACAAAATTGTTAGCGAATGCCCCTGTTTCCCCCTGCCATTTAAAATCACATGGGAGGGGAACACTTACTCCCGAACCTGTGTGGCTTTTTGGGAGCCATGCTTCATCATCCTTGCTTGGATTAGTCCTGTAGGCTGCGAATCCACTGGAAATCCCGATGCAACTCCAGTGCACCCCTGACTAGATTGACGGTACAGTGCTAATAACAGGCAAAGGCAGTGACAACTAATTATAGTCAGCAGAGCAATCAGATATGACTGAAGACACATTGGGAAGGGGTTTTGACACTAAATTCACCTCAGTTTTTAAAATAAGCAGTTTTTATATTTAATTTCTCATGTGATTCCTCTCGACTTAATAGGATTTAAAGAAACTCCTGATGCCCTTCCACTGATGTCATGAGTGCTTTGTGTAAACTTTTTGCTGGGAATTTGTCTGACCAAGGCTACTGTATTCTATACAAGTAGCATTGTACGTCTATTGAGGGTAGCCTGATCCTGCAAAACTCTGGCTATTGGCTGCTGTTAATCCAAAAGAGATTTTCAGTGTAAATCTTAATTTTGCAACGCCCTGTTGAAATCTACGGGACATTATGTGGTACATGCATTATACTTCTCCTGTAATAAACAGTATGTAACCTACTGTGTATTTAAGAAGGGAACAGCAAGAATTACAGTAAGTGCGTGGTCCACTTTTCAAACCAGAATGCCAAAAGTTAGGTTTTAAATGACTACTTAGGCATCTAAACTGTGGGTGTGTCTTCACTGTAGAGTTAGCCCAGGTGATCAGCCTAGCCCAGGTGTGTGCAGCCACACTGCAAAGCCCTGCCCAAGTTACTGAGGCCTGACCTATCCCTAAAACTTAGGTCGACCTAACTTCCTCGCTCAGGTCTGTGAAAAATGTTGCTCTGCGTGAGGTACTTAATGTACTTAACCATTAATGTAGAGATGCCCTAAGTGCTCATGGGTGCTGCACTCCCCTCGTGTGCCACTGGGACTTCCGGGGGCCTATCCCATGGTTCTTTGCACTGCAGTCAGCTGAGCCGCTCTATCATTCTTTGCCAGCGAACTGTGGGAGAACTTGTCTGTCCCTTTGGGCACGGGGGGGGGGGGGGAACAGCAGCGGAGGACTATAGGCATGTGAGTGGTTTAGCCTGCGTCCTCACTGCAAAGTGGGCAGTTGCCAGCCTGTGTGAAAGTGGCACCCGTGCTCTAATGCACATCCCCAGCTGGGCCAGTTAGCTTGTGTTGGAAGCATCACTAAGCTCAGGTGAGAGGTTTTCATGAGTGGATGACAGGGAGGTTTGGGGCAACACCCAAGTAAGAGCGATCAGCTGTGTCTGCTGTACAGAGTCCATGCCAGTATAGCTATGTTGGCATAGCCCCATAGGGTAGATTCAGTGTACACCTACAGCAGTAGTTCTGCTGGGCTAAGAACACCACCTCCCCAAATGAGATCAGCTATGTCAACAGAACCATTCTTCTATCCGCAAAGCTGTATCTACACTGTGGGGTTTGTTGGTATAGCTCTGTTGGCCAAGGGTGTGGTTTTTTCCCTGCCCCTGACCGACATAGCTTAGCTGGTATAAGTTTTAAGTGTAGACTAAGCCAAAGTTAATTCTGAGGTAAAGCTATATCCTTGCGTGTTTAGACTGGAGCTGGGTGAATGCTGGATAAAGTGGTTGCAAACTTACTTTTCTTAAAGGCTGTTTACATGCCTTGTCCTTCCCTCTTTGCAAACAGTTGTGCGATTGTGGCTTTGTTCACGTGAATGCTTGGATAATAGTTGTTGTTTGTAAGTCTTCATGTGTGCCTGCAAACCAGGGTAGTCGTGGGCAAATAGCCATGTTTGCTAGTCTCTGTTCATTCTTTGCCAGTCCTCATTCTCCTGTTGAAAAGTTTCAGTCATCCTGCCAGGGTGCGGTAACCACGTCATGTGACTTAGAGTACCTGCTCCCCCACAGCAGTGAGTCATGGAGCTCAGGTCAACTGACCTGAGCTCATGCTTCAGGGCTAGAAATAGCAGCATAGATGTTCCCAGTGAGACCCACCATCCTCCCTGGGTTTCAGAGCCCAGCCTCCAGGGCAGCTGTACTGATCTTTTTAGCCCTGTAATGCAAGTCCCACCAATCCAAGTCAGTTGACCCAGGCTCTGAGATTCGCTGGCGGGGCAGAGGGGATTGTGCAGTGTAGACGTATCCTTAGGTAAACAATCACACACAATAATGAACAGTGACTAGTGGAACAGAACAATTTACGAACTATCCAGAGGCTGAAATTTATTGGCTTAGACTAGTTGGTAAATTCATAGAACAGGGAATACGCTGCCAGAAAGCAGGATTTGTTCTGGAACAGGCCAGATTTATGATCTCAGAATAGGCCAAATCCAATGGATAATTTGCAACCAGCTCTATTTCATTGCCAAGTTTCCATTTTGGTCCTTAAATTCAGCTGTAGATACCTACCTTTGGACAGCCAAGTTTGAAAATGAGTTAACTTCTTGCTGTACGGTGGGATTTTCAGAAGTGTTCCTTCCAAACCATGCTCAAGATCTGTTTTGCGACAGGGTAAAAAAAGTAATCTGGTGAACTTCAAGAATGTTTAAAAAAAAAAAAAAAAGGACCCTAAAAGCCATCCTGCATCTGCAAAACTAATGCATGTCTGTGACTTTGCTCTGCAAAATCATCCTGATTTATACAACCCATAACTAAGGAAAGCTGGATATAGAGGACCCCGTAGATTACCCTTTCTATTCTGGAATGAAGATCCAATGGATCATCTGTCTCTTCCAGTCCAGGATTATCAAAGCGTCAAAGCTGGCTTAAATAAATCATCTGCTCTTCGCAAGCAGAACCCCCCCACACTTTTCTTACTAGAACATTTTCATGGGAACCTGCAAGGGAAAGGTTGTGTACAGGAATTTTTGTATCACACAATTCTAGAGCATGGACTAGAGATGGAAAAGCCCTGTCAGATCATCCAGTCCATCTGCCTGCCAATGCAGGATTGTCCCCGGTCCTGTTTTCTAATGCTCTCTATAAAAGACATTGCTTTTGGTTGAGTTGTATGAAAGCGAGTAGGGAAAAAGTCACAAAACGTTGCCTGGGGTGGAAAGGATTACTCCTGGTGCCACTCTGAGGGCCCACCCTATAAAGTGACCCACCCACCAGCAGCCTTGCATGTTCCTCCTTGCAGGAGTAGGTTGGTCATATGTGCCATGATTAGAGAAGCAGGTCCTTATTGCAGGATAGGGTGGAGAAGAGGCACCTGGTATAGTCTGGTGCCATGCAAAAGGGTGGGAAAACTGGGGGAGGAATCATGGAGGACTCTTGAGTTTTATAAAAATCAGTGCTGAAGATTTGCTCTGATTCAATGCAGATTTTTCCATAATGAGCTAAGGACCCAACCCAGCAAAGCACTTAAGCATGTGCATAACTTTCAGCACACAAATAACCGGATTGCAAGGCCACTGGTGAGCTACAAGCTACATATGGGCATACACGCTTTGCGATACGCGAGTTTATGTTTCCTGGTCCCCCGCCCAGTTACCCAGGCAATAATG